TCTACGGACCGCGGCGTATCAAGGTTCGTCCTGCTGGCGCTACGACAACTACACTCGGTGGTGCAGCGGCGATGGAGACCAGCGAACCACCAGCTCACCCCTAGACATGCATCAACTTTTCTGGTCTCAGTCCGGTTACAAAGCTCCGACGAAGCCTGCCTGTTTCTGCTGCACAGCTGGTCTGCGCTGCCGCTCTGCCAACCTCGTTGTTCTTACATCTGAGCATGTTTCTTTGCAATTTTCTCCGGCGAATACACATGCTTTCGTTCCTTTCCTCTAGCTTCCTCACTGTTCACTTTCCCCGTTCTTATGGTCTCCTCCTTATCCTGCTCTCCTCCAGTCTGGGGTCTGCACCTAAGAGAACTTTATGTTGGCACAAACCTTGATGTTTCTACTTTAGTACACGTCTGCCCTATGACCGTGGCCTCTACGAGTTTAAGAAAATGACCATTGTTCTTCGAGAAAAGTGATTTTCGGCTGTGCAAAGGACAGCCGTTGGTATAGCTGATTTTAAAAATCGACCCATTGGTACTGATTGTTACTCCTTCTCTACTACAATGTGGTTTTAATCTTTGGGGATAGTAAATTCCCCAACTCTGAGTTTTATTGAAAGAGGCGCACAGTTAGCTCGGGTGCCTGATTTGCAGACTTGGGTTCAAACTTGATAACTTGATTGGGGCCTCTCAAAGTTTAACCGGTACTCTGTTTGCTTAAAATATCCTATTACATTTTTGTTCATTTCGACATGGGCCGCAAGGAAGCTTCCTACAACTTGGCTACATCCAGTTAAAAAAAGTTTACGTACTTAACTGACAGATTTCAGTTCAGTTTTATTAAGGGAACAGTAGGCAAACTCCTTCGACTTCCTTGTTGATAACACAGTGGCTAAGAAGTGCATCGATACAACAGAGAAGTCCAGAAAGAGGTCGTTTGCCTAATTGCAGACGAAAAACGGGCAACCGTCGATTGATCGAAAAGAGTGGTCATACACGACTAGTCGCTTACTAAGAGTAGTATAATCACAGGTGTAATCATGGCCACGGGACTAGTATCTCAACTTACTGGCGATGCTTGGTCATCCTTGACTTCGTCCTTGTCCTCCGTTAGCAGCTGTGTATGGAATATCGGTTGCTCGCCGCGTTGGGTCTGGGTACCGTGCGTGAATTCCAAATGCTAGTTGCAGCCAAGTAGCTTTTCCGACGAATCACGAGAAGCCCAGAAGACGAAATAAGCCACCCAACTCTTCTTCCCAGTATTCCGTCCGTTGCAGCTGTTGACATGCATGTGTGCTGCAAAGGAATGGGTTCACGAAGTCACCTCAGGATACGCTATAGGTCTGTCACTCGGGCAACCCAATCCCCAAGAAAGCTGCGGAAAGTCTGTGCGTGCTCAAGTCAGATAGGTGGTTCAATTGGGAAACGCTGGCCGAGGTACTTCGGTTCAGTTTCAAGCGGCATATTCATTGGATGGGGCTGTAGTCCCTATTGACCAAGGACCTTGCTCCAGTTTGAATCCTGTGCGGTCTTCGAATGAATGCCTCATGCTCATCCGCATGTTCCACCGGGATGCACATCATTGACAGGGGTAAGTGCCCTTTGGTAATAATTCTAAAATGAACTGTCTTGTAGGTACGCAGGTAATCATTTCTCCTACATCTACCTTACGGGAAACCACGTTTTGGCTTTTTTAATAAAACGCTCGCACCAATAGCCCTGTTACATTGCCCTTAGCTTTATTAGTGCCGTTCGCAAACAGTGCAAAACAAATATGCATTTAATATAAGCCCCGGCAGGGGTTTGGTCAACTTGCCATTAGAAGGAAACGTACTACAGATAGGATTCCATAACAAACAACGATCATCCGGAAATGTACTTTTTTTCTTTCAGTACGGGTTTAAAAAAAAGACGGTAGACGGTAGATTAGTCAGTTCCAACAGGGACTGTCTGCTAACCGTTTAGCTGCGGCCTCATCGTATTGACCGTCATCGGTTATATTAAGCATGGTAGTGAAGAGCTCACCAATCAGGTTACGGGTGCGTTTGTCTCGTTCTCCCTTAGGACTCAATAAAGAGTCCTTGCAGGCAGCCGTATAGTGGCTATTTCCATGTTTTTTACCCAGAATATACGTCGTCGCACCACGTCCCGTGCTATTTGCATGTCACAGCGAACTACCCAGGCGCGCCGTCGGTGAAGCTTATACCGATCTCGTCTTTTCATGGGCATTAAACTACGTGTCCGACGGCAGTCGAGTCCGCTACGGTTGACGAAGAATACAACCTTGCCACGCATTTCGATGCTTTGACCACGCGCACACGCCTACCATTTAATGTATCCTCGCTCAATAGGGGCTGATCTCAAATACACCCCCCCACTTCCGATTTGGCTGTAATTTAGCGAATAGCGATTAAGGCAACGCCTACATAGGCGGGGGTATTCTGTTGTCGGAGAGAAGTTAACGCCTACAACAGTGCTAATGGCGCCAGCCCGATTCGCGTCCTCAGAGTTGATAACTTAACTACAGCCTTTGGTCTGCCGATGCAGTATATTAAGAAAACTGCCAGTGTCTACGCCGTGATTAGTCAATTGCCTTGCTAAACAAAAGGTAGTGGCATACCACTATTATAATGCGTCAAGTAAGGGAACAAACATTTCGACGGATCTGAGCTCTAAAGATGCGTATGCTTAGGGGGCGGACAGGGCATAAACAGGGTCCAACTATTGCGTCAGTTTAGGCCTCTTCAGATGAAAGCTTTAAGTCCGATATTACTGAAAAAGTGAATTCTACTGTGGTTACTGCCGCAGACGTGTAACTCGAACGTGTTTAAATGGTATCGAGAAG